AATCACCTTAGAACGTACTAACGAAGGTGACATCCTTAATAACTTATATCATACCATAGCTGGATGATCGTAATATGCGATTCCGAGTGACAACAAAGTAGTAGTAGTAGTAGTAGTAGTTGTAGTGTGTGTGTGTCTGTGTGTGTGTCTGTGTGTGTGTGTGTGTGTGTGTGTGTGTGTGTGTGTGTGTGTGTGTGTGTGTGTGTGTGAAAAGTCAACAAGGAAACGACAACAACTGAGTTGCAGTGGGCCAGTGCGTATGTACCGAAAACATCGATATAATAGCATTTACTTTTACAGCGTCAAGTGTTCAATGGAAAAACAAATGCTGCATTTAATGCTCTGAAAGGCACTGTTGATTATCAGGATGGAACAGTGAAATACATCCGACTGGTAACAAATTGGTACAAAATGATGAATTTTAAAAGTAAATACGTACAGTTCAATTCAGTTACGAGATTAATATCGTGAACCTTGGACATTCCAGCAGCAGCCAAAGTTGCATCAGCTGTTAAAACATGACACTGCTCCTAAGAGTATATGCGGCGTAAGCAGCACTCAGCTTCTAGATTCGGATGATAGTTTAAGATATAAAACTGTCTACAGTACAGGATTTTTAGTTCATAAACATGGGTAATGTTTGTCATCAGAGTTTGTGACCGAGCTTGATCGAGGTGGTCTGAGTATGCCAACACTGATCCTCTATTTTTTGTACATAGTACAATCAGTCTACAAATGTTTCTTCAAGACTTGAAAAAATTGTCGTAATTACTTGAAAACATGTCTGACATATGTAGGCACTCCTCAAGCGCCACATTTAGGAACACTGTAATGCATTATTCAAAGCTACTAATGATCGTAAGTGCACTCTGGGCTGCTTAATTATGTCAAGTGATTATAGTTATAGAAGTTCATGTGTAAAGAATGTTTGCAGTGCATAACCTCGTTTTCTTTGTGTACAACATTACTTTATAAATATGTTTCATTATAATTACATATTTTTTAACAAGTAAAAAAAAAATAATGTACCTGAGGCACCGACTTTTTTACAGAGATACCAGATGAACAACGTTGATATAGAGAAATCCGATTGTGAAAATGATTCATGAGTAAGGATGACAAGACTCATACTGGGCATTAGGAAACTTGAATATAGAGACAGATTAAAACATCTGAATTTGCACTCACTCAAGAGACGTAGTATCGTCAGAGGAACTAGTTCATGGAACACCACAGTATCAGCGAGTTTGCCCTGCGACCTAAATAGTTTTCTTTAAAGAGCCAGGCGTGTGTGTGTGTGTGTGTGTGGTATTCATTTAAATACTCATATATTGTACACACATTCCTGGTCGCTAAACAGTACAGCATCATAGATCAGCCAAGAATAATACTGAATTCACTAAAAATATATTTCTGAAACATTCTAACCTCTTAACCTCTTTATAATGACAAGTGGAGAAGTGAAGGGTAGGGCTGGAAAAGTGAAGGGTAGGTATGGAGTAGTAAAGGGGGAGCTGGAGTAGTGAAGGGTGGAGCTGGAGTAATGAAGGGTGGAGCTGGAGTAGTGAAGGGTGGGGCTGGAGTAGTGAAGGGTGAAGGTGGAGTAATGAAGGGTGGAGGTGGAGTAGTGAAGGGTGGGGTTGGAGTGAAGGGTGGAGTGAGGAAGGTGGAGGTGGGTAAAGGGGGGGTGAAGGGTGGAGCTGGGAGTAATGAAGGGTGGAGGTGGAGTAGTGAAGGGTGGAGCTGGAGTAGTGAAGGGTGGAGCTGGAGTAGAAAAGGGGGGAGCTGGAGTAGTGAAGGGTGGGGTTGGAGTAGTGAAGGGTGGAGTTGGAGTAATGAAAAGGGGAGCTGGAGAGTGAAGGGTGGGGCTGGAGTAGTGAAGGGTGAAGGTGGAGTAATGAAGGGTGGAGGTGGAGTAGTGAAGGGTGGAGCTGGAGTAGTGAAGGGTGGAGCTGGAGTAGTGAAAAGGGGGAGCTGGAGTAGTGAAGGGTGAAGGTGAGAGTGGAAGGGTGGAGCTGGAGTAGTGAAAGGGTGTGAAGGGTGGAGCTGGTAGTGAAGGGTGGAGCTGGAGTAGTGAAGGGTGGAGCTGGAGTAGTGAAGGGTGCAGCTGGTAGTGAAGGGTGGGGGTGGAGAAGTTAAGGGTGGAGTAGTGAAAATGGAGGAGCTGGAATGGTGAAGGGTGAGGGGTGGAATAGGGAAGGGTAGAACTGGAGTAGTGAAGGGTGGGGGTGGAGTAGTGAAGGGTGGAGGTGGAAGTTGGAAGTTGTTTGGGGATTACTGGCCACTTCGCCGTTAAGCTATTTCGGCCGAAGCTGTTTGTTTGCCGAGTCATTTTCTTTGGACTTCTTCCTTTTGTTCTTTTTACTTTTCAATTTCCATGTTTCTTCTTGGTCTTGTTCTGGTATATTCTCGTAAACATCTAAAAACGGTGATGATGTTAATATTAGTAAATAGTTTTCTTGGGTCATGTTTAATTCTGTGGTCTTGTTGGGGTTGATTCTTCTTTTCTTCGGTCTTCACTACAAGGAGAGCCTCCTTGTAGCTCAGTTTTTTCTTGCTTCGCAGCTTAGCCACCTTACACTCCTCCCTCCACTTGGGACACTCCCGGTTGGAGGAGGAGTGAGGGCCACCAAAAGCTGCGCATTTCTTGGCGGCCGCCGAGCAGGCGGTGTGCTGGTGCCCGGGTGTCCCGCAACTGCAACAGACCTCCCGAGCTCGACACTTCCCTGCCAGATGGCCATACCTCTGGCATTTGTAACACCTTGTTGGTCTTCTTTCATACGGTCTTACTGGGATGTTCTCCCATCCCAGCAATACGGTGCTTGGTAGATTCTTGGGGTTACCAACCAGTGCAGTTGCACTGGTCAGCTTGGGTACTATTGAGAGCTGGTCTCTGATCAGCTCGGCCAGTTCTTCTTTTTCAAGGTGTTCTATCTCGGTGTGTGAGATGACCGCCAACACCAAGTTGTCCTCTGTGTGAGCTTCCACTAGTATCTGGATCCGGTTAATTTCTGTTATGTTGGCTATTTACTTGGCCTGTCCCCATTCCGCGAAGGTGACGATAAGGCCACCACACACTGGTCTGCGGACGACCCTTGTCAGTTGTCACCCCCCTGATTCCTAAGGAGTCAAAAAACTTCCTTAGGACAAGGAGGTTTACTTATTTGCGCGAAGGGCATGTGACTGGGTACAGTCTTGCGACCTTCGCCTGGTCACAGGTCAGCATCGTCAGGTTCACGTAGTACCTCAGGAGCAGAGAAGATCTTGCCTCGCCGAGGTGCAGTTCTTGGTTGGAGCTGGAGTAGTGAAGGGTGAAGATGGAGTAATGAAGGGTGGGGCTGGAGTAGTGAAGGGTGGTGCTGGAATACTGAAGGGTGGGGCTGGAGTAGTGAAGGGTGGTGCTGGAATACTGAAGGGTGGGGCTGGAGTAGTGAAGGGTGGTGCTGGAATACTTAAGGGTGGGGCTGGATGGGGCTGGAGTAGTGAAGGGTGGGGCTGCTGGAGTAGTGAAGGGTGAAGCTGGCTGAAGGATGGAGCTGGAATAGTGAAGGGTGGAGCTGGAGTAGTGAAGGGTGGGGAAGGTGTGAGTGGGGCTGTAATATGAAGTAGTAGTGAAGGGTGGAGCTGGAGTGGAGTGGGGCTGGAGTAGTGAAGTGGAGCTGGAGTAGTGAGTAGTGAAGTGGAGCTGGAGTAAGGGTGGAGCTGGAGTAGTGAAGGGTGGAGCTGGAGTAGTGAAGGGTGGAGCTGGAGTAGTGAAGGGTGGAGCTGGAGTAGTGAAGGGTGGAGCTGGAGTAGTGAAAGGTGGAGTGTGAAATATAAATGCAAGGTGGTTTTAATGTTTGTAATTGACATAAAGATTGCATGAATAGAACACATTAGTAAATCCTAGACATAAATGACCTTACACCAACTATTATTAATGTGTTCTTAGGCAGACTAAACTAGATATTTTCTCATTTTACCTTCAATCTTTTTAAATGAATCTAAAATTCTCAGTAACTATAAAGAGTTGGAAAGTAAATATTCTCAGGAAGTTTTGCAAGTAAGGAAAAAATATCAGAAAAACATTGAGAAATTATGTGTAAGAACATTGAGAAATCATGTGTAAGAACGAGAATATAAAATAAAATAAATATTCTCACATCATCCTCACCAACATGATCACAAAAAATCTAGTAAATATAACTGAGAATATTGTCGTTGTGGGTACAGTAACAGTGATGAATAAAACGCGTGTAAGACCATAACCCAAATACAATATATATATATATCCTGATCTAACACACTGCTGACACGTCTTGGTAGTAAGAAAAAGAAAATCCTCACTCTTACTATGATATATTATGTCCTTTGAATACCTTAGAAATATGTTGAGTTGTCGTTGTTGAAATAAATGTGTGGTGATGGTCTTGGCTGGTCATTTGTTATACGGTACAGTATTTTCTTCGATTGTAAAAACCTTTGATCATTCTTCTTGTTTTCTTGTTTTGTTATTCCTCTTTATTTCTTTATTCTCTCTCTCTCTGTTCTTTCAAATCTTCGTCTTAATTGAGCCTAAACATACTTCAGTACATCTTGCTCCTACATCCAATCATATTCGATAATGTGTAACAAACTTTACTCTCTATATTTACTTAATTACATCAAAATAAAACATAGGTGAGAATGAAAGACAAGAACATTAAGAGAATCGATGTTGTGTACGTTATGGAAACAAAATTGAAAACAGGAGAACAGATAAATAACATAATAATTATTGAAAGAAACAGAACTAAATTATGATGGGATGCTGAGTATTTAGGGGTGAAATGCTGAAATATGAACCTTACCAAAGCTGAGTGAGTATAACTTGCGTGACAGGTGAATAGAGAAGTACACAATGGGAGGGGGGGGGGAGAAGTATACCTGTGTTATTGTCCACACGTAGCCACGGTCACGCATACTCACACTAATACACAAACCCGCCCGAAGTGTCGACAGTGTAGCTGAGGTGAGGAATGTGGCCAGAGGTGTCAGTCTTCAGCCGTCACCAAACAACACCTGTCTACCTTCTACTGCTATTGAGTTTCAGCACACTACCTGCTTCAGGGGAAAATGTTTCTAAGACTGTTCCAACACTACTTCCAACCCCTGCTGCTGCTGCTGTATCTTCAACCCTCTGCACAAAGTGGTGAAGTATACACAGAGTCACAGAAGAGCACAACAACGGGACCATCTGTTAACTACGTCATTAGTTCCATCTTCGGGAACTTCTTCGTGAAGAACAACTTGAGTTTAAAGGACGAAGACGTCTTCACAAAGGTCCTCGCCAAGTCCCTGTGTGAGTTATCAGATCAACGGCACGAGATTCATAACACGTTTTAGTACAATTAAATTATATCTGTGTCTAGATGATGTTGTTATTCTCTAATACTTTTCTCCGGGTTCTACAGTGCGATTCGAATCTTCAAAAAAGTGGGAATATCCGAGACACGTTTCTAATATCTGTTTAGATATACTGTATTTCTTACATGGGATCACCTGAAGATTCGGCACCCCATTCAATTTCACTTGAAGATTAACCCCCCTAACTCTACCGACCTAAGGTTAGGTTAGGTTAGATAATATCGCTGTGGTGGTTAATCTTCAAGTGAAATAAGCTAGGGTGTCTAATCTTCAGATGATCCCATGCATAATACAATAATTCACCGAAGTGCGTGCGCACACACACACACACATAATACAATAATTCTCTAACACGTGTCCTCTATATGATGCGAGGTCCTTAGCATGTGACCCTTGAACCACATAAGAAGGAAAAAGAAAGTAGCATTCGTCTTTTACTGTGTTGTCGACGGGTTGTTTGTTGTCGAAAATTTCCTGTTTTGGCAGCAGTAGTTGGGTCACCAGAGGCAACATTCAAGCTTAATCATGCAACAGCACGAAGAGGTTATAGGTTTGCATGGCGTCGAAATCATATAGAGATTTTAATTGTTGTAATTAACCTGTGTTTTGTCCTTTTTTCAGTTAAATGGACGGAATTACGTATTTATCTTTCGGTGTCCGAGGTTATAGGTTATATCCTCTGACTATTACAGGCGAGTGTCGTACAGCGTGTTGGGCGACCAATGTGTGCCAGGCGGCGGCATTGGTGCCAGTAGAGGACCACAAGGAGTGCCATCTGGCTAAAGAGGGGCCACACAAAACCACCACCCAGTACCTGCAGGGAGCCATCTATCTCTTCAAGGAGGGTCAGTACACTAAACACACATGTTCTTATTGTTGTGAAGAATTATCATAAAAAGTATGTTGTCTTTGTCTGTGTCTTTCTCTATGGGAGCTTTAGTGAAGGTAATTAAAAAATTTCTCTCTGGATTTTTTTCCTCGAGGGGTTACACCTGAGTCATGTAGCAGGTCATGACAGAACACAATAATGAACTGAAGCGCTTACCATCAGATGATAATTTTTAAAAACATAAAAAAGTAACGTTTCAACAGGTACAGAATTATAGATACTGTCTGCCACACTCACTCACTCATTCACTCGAGACCACCTTCTACCTTAATGGTCGACAACACTCACACAACCTTTCCTTCATCCTTTCTCCCTCCTTCCCTATGATTGAGGATAACAATCACTCACCCTCCCTCCCTCCCTCTAGATTCCCTCCCGGGGCATTATCACGGACTGATGAAGGACAATTTGACGTACTACGAGCCTCCGGAGATGATGGAGCTGGAGGAAGGCAAAAAGTGGTGTAACAGGATCCCCGGACACCGCCTCGTCATCATCAAGACCAATGACCAACTCAAAACTCTGCAGGAAATCTCTCTGAAGACCCTAGGCGACACCCCTACCCGTGAGTAAAAGCGACACATATAAGAAGGGTTTAAAATAATAACGTATTGGTGTTTACATATTTTACTTATTTAAGATTAAAATATTTAACATATTCTCCAATCAATGGAATTTGAGAAGTCATTCAGGCATGGATAACACGTTTGATGTGACCACCACTGTGCTGCCAAACGGGTCCTCAAGTTACTAATCATTATGACACAGGTCCTCATCAACACAATTGTACGATTGTTTCCCCTGAGTTCTGCAGCGTTTTGTGGCCAACATGAGCAAATTTCATTTTTCAATAAGCCCCAAAGTAAGTAATCGCAGAGGTTAACTTAATGTGACCAAATAGTATTATATTGAGAATGACCATTTGAAGTTATTTTCTCGAGATGGTGTACAGTGACCGAGTGGATACAGCACTTGCCTTCTGTCCTAAGAGTCATTGTATGATGCCCTGTCAAATAGTAAAGTGTGACTCATTTATCCGCTAGCTCAACAGTGTAAATAGATTATCAAAATTTACTCACAGTAGAGAACTTGACCAAAAATAATCGTGTAATTACAAAGAAGCTTAATGACTAATCAAACACCAAGAAAGGCGATGAAAACTGGAATAAGATTTAATCCACTACGAGAACAACAATATAATAATGATAATAACATTTGACTAGGATACAAATATGAATCTACAATTAACTCATAGATATTGGGAGTGGTGGCCGAGCTGATATACTGTAGCCCTCAACAACTAATGTCCACAGCCATGACACTGAGTAAGGGTCACCGCTAGTCGACCCAACTGTGAATGGCTACCTAATTATACAATATGAAGAATGAAAGGCGGCAGAGTACTGTACTGGCCATGTTGTCTCCTGTGGGACCTAGAATTATTTTAGCCACAAATATGAAGATTCTTTCTGTACTTTTTAAATACTGTTGTTTATTCTTCATAGATAGATAGATAGATAGATAGATAGATAGATAGCTAGATAGATAGATAGATAGATAGATAGAAAAAGTAAAATCAAAGGGAAAAGTTGATATTAAACAAACACATAAATAGCATTATTTCTACTACAACTCCACACATCGTTCTGACAGCCAAGCTCATATGGATGAACCTGAAGAAGCCGCTGCAGTCTAACGAGAAGATATGGGGTGACGGGACCCTGGTAAAGATAACTGAGGTGTGGCCGTCCCTCGTGTTTGGTGATGCTTTACAGACAAACGTAGATGATGTGGAGGAGTTCTTCAAGTTCGACGAGAACACCTTCAAAAGTAGTTCACCTTCTACACAGATGAGGATCCTGTGTCAGGCTAACCCAGTGGGGGTATACTGGTAAACCTAACACTCTAGATTGGTGAATAATGTAAACCTAACACTCTAGATTGGTGAATAATGTAAACCTAACACTCTAGATTGGTGAATAATGTAAACCTAACACTCTAGATTGGTGAATAATGTAAACCTAACACTCTAGATTGGTGAATAATGTAAACCTAACACTCTAGATTGGTGAATAATGTAAACCTAATACTCTAGATTGGTGAATAATGTAAACCTAACACTCTTGATTGGTGAATAATGTAAACCTCACACTCTAGATTGGTGAATAATAGAAACCTAACACTCTAGATTGGTAAATAATGTAAACCTCACACTCTAGATTGGTGAATAATGTAAACCTAACACTCTAGATTGGTGAATAATGTAAACCTAACACTCTAGATTGGTGAATAATGTAAACCTAACACTCTAGATTGGTGAATAATGTAAACCTAACACTCTAGCTTGGTGAATAATGTAAACCCCACACTCTAGACTGGTGAATAATGTAAACCTAACACTCTAGATTGGTGAATAATGTAAACCTAACACTCTAGATTGGTGAATAATGTAAACCCCACACTCTAACACTCTAGATTGGTGAATAATGTAAACCTAACACTCTAGATTGGTGAATAATGTAAACCTAACACTCTAGATTGGTGAATAATGTAAACCTAACACTCTAGATTGGTGAATAATGTAAACTAACACTCTAGGTGAATAATGTAAACCCCACACTCTAGACTGGTGAATAATGTAAACCCCACACTCTAGACTGGTGAATAATGTAAACCTAACACTCTAGACTGGTGAATAATGTAAACCCCACACTCTAGACTGGTGAATAATGTAAACCTCACACTCTACACTGGTGTATAATGTAAACCCCACACTCTACACTGGTGAATAATGTAAACCCCACACTCTACACTGGTGAATAATGTAAACCCCACACTCTAGACTGGTTAATAATGTAAACCTAACACTCTAGACTGGTGAATAATGTAAACCTAACACTCTAGACTGATGAATAATGTAAACCCCACACTCTACACTGGTGAATAATGTAAACCCCACACTCTACACTGGTGAATAATGTAAACCCCACACTCTAGACTGGTGAATAATGTAAACTTAACACTCTAGACTGGTGAATAATGTAAATCTAACACTCTAGACTGGTGAATAATGTAAGCCTAACACTCTAGACTGATGAATAATGTAAACCCCACACTCTAGACTGGTGAATAATGTAAACCTAACACTCTAGACCGGTTAATAACAGAAACCTAACACTTAGACTGGTGAATAATGTAAACCAACACTCTAGACTGATGAATAATGTAAACCCCACACTTCTAGACTGGTGAATAATGTAAACTTAACACTCTAGACTGGTGAATAATAAACCTAACACTCTGACCGGTGAATAATAAAACCCACACTTCAGACTGATGAATAATGTAAACCCCACACTCTAGACTGGTGACAGAATCCCCACACTCTAGACTGTGAATAATGTAAACCCCACACTCTAGACTGTGAATAATGTAAACCTACACTTTAATTGGTGAAGAATGTAAACCTAACACTCTAGACTGTCACACAATGTAAACCCCACACTCTAGACTGGTGAATAATAAACCCCCACATTCCCTAGACTGGTGAATAATGTAAACCCCATTAATTTCTAGACTGGTGAATAAACCCCACACTCTAGACTGAGAATAATGTAAACCCCACACTAGACTGGTGAATAATGTAAACCCACACCCCAGACTGCGAATAATGTAAACCTAACACTCTAGACTGGTGAATAATGTAAACCCCACACTCTAGACTGGTGAATAATGTAAACCCCACACTCTAGACTGGTGAATAATGTAAACCTAACACTCTAGATTGGTGAATAATGTAAACCTAACACTCTAGACTGATGAATAATGTAAACCTAACACTCTAGATTGGTGAATAATGTAAACCTAACACTCTAGATTGGTGAATAATGTAAACCTAACACTCTAGACTGGTGAATAATGTAAACCCCACACTCTAGACTGGTGAATAATGTAAACCCCACACTCTAGACTGGTGAATAATGTAAACCTAACACTCTAGACTGGTGAATAATGTAAGACTGGTGAATATCTAACACTCTAGACTGATGAACAATGTAAACCCCCACACTCTAATACAAACCCCACACTCTAGACTGGTGAATAATGTAAACCTAACACTCTAGGCTGGTGAATAATGTAAACCTAACACTCTAGACTGGTGAATAATGTAAACCTAACACTCTAAACTGATGAATAATGTAAACCCCACACTCTAGACTGGTGAATAATGTAAACCTAACACTCTAAACTGATGAATAATGTAAACCCCACACTCTAGACTGATGAATAATGTAAACCCCACACTCTAGACTGGTGAATAATGTAAACCCCACTCTCTAGACTGGTGAATAATGTAGCCCCACACTCTAGACTGGTGGGTTAATGTTTCAAGGAATTACGTTTTTTCACTTTATATGTATTATTGACAATATTGTTCACAGTTAATGAGAGTAAATCACATGTACTTGATTCATCACACCTAATGCTTATTATGTGTAAGGTTCACCCAGAGAGTGTCATGTGTAGCTCCCCACAACACCCCACAACACCCGTCACCCGCACTTACCGACATACAGTTATTATCCAACACTCTCAATTTTATAAACGGTCAAAATATATACAGTATAACCAAGCCAGAGAGTGTCACAGAACTTCAATTTGGAGTCTGCTAAAGCTGACTTCGTCCTGTTTGTCTAATCTTTTACTGCACAACTATTGACCATACGAGCAAAAAACTTTCAAGCTGATGTATATAAAACAAAAATGAAATTCGTAAACCAAAACGATATGTATAATAAATGTTGATATTGGAAACAGTGGCTTAGTGGGGACGGAAGAGAGCAGTATGGTGATCCTCTACTTTTAGGGGGAACTGCGTTTTTCTCTTTTTTTCTCTTTAACAAAAATAGTCTGAGTAGTCTGACACCGCTGGCTTTTTTATCATATCTGTGACTAAGCGCCATGCTTTGGAAAAAACGGAATTGCTGTAAACGTACTAAAAATATCACAATATCATTCATCGTATTGCAACTGTCTCAGTCACAGACTTGAGTTGGCCGTGTCTGGCGCGGTCAACCAAGTGTGGATTACTTTCAATTATTTTTGGTAAATTACGCACACACTGCTGTATATTTTTTTACCTGAAAATCAAAGTACAGTAAATTAAAGCTTGTAGATTCATCATTGTATTCAATAAACTACAACACTTCTTTACACACATAAAGAGTGTTGTGCAGCCATTACCACAGCACACTGCCTCACACCTCATCTTAGGAAGTTGACTTTTCACTGCTGCAATTTTTATTTCGCTTCACTTCCTACCACCGAGGTTTATTAATCCTTTAGAGGGCAGCAGCGTACTTAGGTATTTTATTTCGGCTGTCAAACGATTTTTATTTAGCTGAGAGAAACCCCTGATCTCTAAAGGATTAAAGGTGATTTTGAGGTGATTTGGGAAAACAATAACATGCTACTCTCGTGTGTGTGTGTGAACTAACTCGTGTCAAAGGGGAAGAGGAAAGAAATAGTAAGGACAGAGAAGGTAAGTGTGGCTGTCAACTCAAGAGTGATGCGCCACAAGGAGTAGATAAGACAACCACTGACATGATAGTGATGATTAGAAGCAAAACAACGAAAGAACAAATGACAACAGTGAATTTCACATACTATTAAACTACTATTAAAAGATACTTCATAACCTTGGCTATTGTAACACCTGAACAACAACAACAACAACACATAACAACAATACAACAACACCAACAACAACAACAACACTCCTTCACAAGCTTGGCATAATTCTAAAACTGCTCCCCCCCCCCGTCTCCAAAACATCTCCAGTATATAATAAACTGATAATCTATTTTTTATTCTTATATATAGAAAAAAGTAATATGTTAATGTTCCAAAAATTTTAATAATAAACTCAAATTCCATCTTGTCACACGTGGGGGAGTTCCTACATCATAGCAAAAAGAAGTGTCGTGACTAGTACTATGATATGTGGTGGTTTTTGCTGTTTGTGTGTGAAATTGTGTTACTTGTCGTCCATTGCAGCAGCTGAACATATTTTATTCCTTGAACCTTCGGACTTGCGGGGTATATTTTTTGCTGTAAAATATCAATAAATCGACTTTTTTTTTATCTTCTCGCTTTTCTTTATTCAGTTCTTCACTTTCTCTTCTTCCGTTCCTTTTGTTGTTTTCTCGTTTAAAACTTCTCCTTTACACAGGTTGCTGACAAGATGTGTGTGTTGTAATGACGACAGGCAACTTCTGCGCCCTGTACAAGTAAGTGGTAGGAAGTCACAATTTTGGTTAGGTTAGGTTAGGTTAGGTAAAATTTCTGATGCTTGTTATTTTCTTATCATTCTTTTCCAACCTCTCCAAGATGGAATGTTAAATTAGGAGATGCACTACACAACACTTTTTGTCATTTTATGTTCGAAAATAAAAATATGTTTATCAAATTCTGTTTTACTTCCACAGCGTTTTAAGTAGTCAGTGTATATATATATATATATATATATATATATATATATATATATATATATATATATATATATATATATATATATATATATATATATATATATATATATGCAAGTAAATCACCGTAGGTGCGGACGAGAGAAAAGATAATCATTAAGGAAAGAAAATACGAGGTGCTTAGCAGCTGTGTAATTCACATCTTCAGGGTGAGTAACAAATCAGTATGCCTGTCAGTATTTTCAACAATGTTTTTACGTGCCTTGAGTAGTTCTGGTAGTCCGGAATCTTTACCTGATGCGGAGGAATATAAACAAAGAGAAAAGGTTATTGGCTCAAACCTTAAATACCCTAGATCTTTCAGACAAATGCTTAAACATTACTAAGGAAAATCCTTTTATATGGAATTGACCCCAAGCTCAATTCCATGACCAGCTAAAAACCTGGAACGTCAATGTGGCATTTAAAAAACTCATGCACTGTTAAACAAATGTTAATCAAGAACTCCCCCAACAACACAATTGGTTGCATTTATAAAGTTCCTTGCAAGGAATGTAATATGTTTTTCTTAGGCCAGACAGGTAAAGATCTTGCAACTAGAATTAAACAACACAAATACAGTGTTAGGACAGGCTGTGAATCCAATGCTCGTTTGTTCATTTGAGAGGATAATAAGCATTGCATTGACTGGGATATTTCCTCAATATTAATACTTTGTAATTCAACTGATAGTAGGAACATCATAGAATCTAGTCTTTATTAAACATACCGAAGCATTCCAACATGAATTTGAGTAACGGCATGCAAGTTGACAATTTTAGTAATTTGGTAAAGACGGTGGATCAGGTGAGGCGCCCATCGACCATCTTGATCTGGACTACCAACTGTTGTGTGTTATTTAAAGATTAGTGGTGGTCGTCATTCTAATACTTCCACCACACAGGACCTGGTCTCACCCTCCTCTGTATATATACACCTTGATTTGTATTACTCTCTCTAGTCTGTACTCACCCTGAAGATGTGAATTACACGAAAGCGCTTGGGAACTTCGTGTTTTCTTCTTTCCTTGTGGTTATCAGTATATATATATATATATATATATATATATATATATATATATATATATATATATATATATATATATATATATATATATATATATATATATATTCACCATTAAATTAGTTAGGTTTATAGGAGATAAAATACAACTAAGTAAATCAAATAATTCTTTAATATTCATCATCACTGGAAAGCAACATGTGGCGACCCAAAGAAGCGAGTCATAGTGTCAGCAACACTACTTTCATCCTAAACTCTTTCTACTATAACTGTCTTCTACATAAAAGCTATCTAATCAGTAAACTTTTTTTTAGTTGCATTTAAAACAAGTCTTATCCGGTCTACAAACCTAAAAAAAAGTCAATTTAATAACAAAATATCTGTAAGACACTAATCAGTATGTCTTGTCTACTGTATGATTCTACCCGAAGTTATACTTTATGAACAAAAATATTATTTGTAGGACAGTACTAGCCAATACTCCTCGCAGATGAGTCGGGGAGCACTTCAACACCACCAATTATATCCCTGGATGACTAACAGAGTCTTTATCATTGGCTGGGGGCACTACACACGTGCAACTCTTCCAGCCAATGATTACTGTACTCATTCAGGGATAAGATTGGTTGTGCTTAAGTAACACTGACTTACCTACGACGACTATCTTCAGGTGGTCCTTCAGTTATGTAAGATGCAGACAAAAAGATTGATATCATGCACGTGAGAATGCGAAATGAGAATGAAATGAGGGACTACAGTATGACCTCACAACTTACTGTACCCAACCTGTACGGGATACGGCAGGCGGACATACAGCAAGAAAATGCGGTAATACAAACTACAGTACAGTTTGCGATTAATGTGAGTTAATTAACCTTTACACATATGTGACAATAGGAGCGGGTGTTTACATCAATGTCAAGTGTGCTAGTGAACTTGAAGTAATATTTACAAAGTTCCTGATAACAAGCACTTAAAATAAACTGAGATTTGTAATCATGGCATAACTCCCCTTCCCCTCCTACATGTGAAAGACTTATTTCTATTATTTTCTTATTCGTTCCGTTTCTCTTTTATATCACTTAATTTGTCGGGTTTTGTGGATATTTTTTATTTATTTATTTTCATCTTCTTGAATTGTGTGTTTTTTTTTAACTTCCTCGACCACACCCCAACACACACATACACACACACATGTCAATACCAACCACGCCAAATCTGCTTCACGCTCAGTCCTCTTAAACAATTGTCCTACACCTTTACGTCTTTATATTTGTGATTCCCCCCTCACATACCTGTCTGCGTCCCACACCCTTTCTTCCTAACAAGCTTGTCCCCACACACCTATCTTTCTCATACGCCTACCCTTTCCTCTCACTCCTGTCTTCCTCTCACACTTGTCTTCCTCACAAACCTGTCTCTTCACAAACTTCCCCCCCCACACACAACACATCTGCCCTTAGTCAGCCTCTCTGTCTCAGACACTAGTGAAGAAACATTCTCTATGGCGTTGACTTTAGCTGCCAAAACATCCACCTCCTCCTTCATCGGGTGCTCGTGGTTACCGCCGTTACACATCTCATGGGTACCCCCGTTGATGTGGCCGTTGGTGACGTTGGCGTTGGAGATGCCGTTGGTGATGGTTTGCGGGTGATAGTGACGGGTGCAGAAGGTAGAGATTCTGGCGCAGGCTTCACGGAGGGTTTCTTTAGGCACTGTTAGGACCACCCTCACGTAGTTGTGGGAGCCGAAGCACTGCAAGTATGGTATTATTATTATTATTATTATTATTATTATTATTATTAGTAGTAGTAGTAGTAGTAGTAGTAGTAGTAGTAGTAGCTCTATCGGAGATTGCTAACACAGAGCCACATGCGGCCTTTGCAGCATTCACACATGGAGTCAAGCATCGTTGGAACTACCTGATGCGTACCATCCCTGAGATCCGACCCCTCCTCCACCCTTTGGAAGAAGCAATCAGTGTCAAGTTCATTCCCAAACTAGTGAAACACCACGACTTAACCCCAGTAGAAAGAACACTTCTTGCACTTCCACCAAGACTGGGAGGGATGGGACTAACTAATCCAGAGGAGATTGCTGACTCTGAACATCAAAATTCACTTAAGCTCACGGCAGCCCTCACTGACCACATAATAGCCCAGAATGCAACAGGGGAAGTGGACACCAGCGAAGTTAATAAGATCCGTAGATCCATTACAACAGATCGGCAGCACTGCCAAAATGACATGTTGCAGCAATTATTGCTGCAGGTTCCAGAAAATCTGACAAAAAAAGTAGCTATAGCGCAGGAGGTGGGCGCCTCGAACTGGTTAACTACGTTACCGATAAGGGCAAATGGTTTCAGCCTTAACAAACAAGAATTTACAGATGCCATTGCTCTAAGGTACGGTTGGCCAGTAGATGGTTTGCCCTCCCAATGCGTGTGTGGCTATTCCTATGATGGCGATCACGCCATGGTTTGCAAGAAGGGGGCTTCATGCATGAGGCATGACGAGGTAAGGGATCTCACAGCAAATATGTTGAAGGAAACCTGCCGGGACGTCATGGTAGAACCGACCCTCCTTCCACTGGATGGCGAGATCCTCCAACACAGGACTTCAAACACATCTAACGAAGCCCGTGTGGACGTCAGTGCTCGAGGATTCTGGACGCGGGGACAGCGAGCCTTCTTCGACATCAGGATTTTTGATCCCATGGCCGTTTGTCACCGTAACCTAGCTCTCGATGCTGCACATAGGAGGAACGAGAACGACAAGAGAAGGGCATATGGGGAGAGAATTCAAAATGTCGATCAAGGCAGCTTCACTCCGCTAGTGTTCACAACCTCTGGTGGGATGGGCCCAAGCGCAAGATGTTTCTACGCCAGACTCGCGGAGCTGATCTCCGAACAGAAGCAGCAGCCCAGAAGTTATGTCACAGCCTGGATGAGATGTCGACTGTCCTTCTCTCTCCTTCGGTCGGCTTTGCTCTGCCTCAGGGGAACGAGAGCTTCTGCCCCTACTCCGTCAACTGCTGCAGATATCGACTATGAGGCTACAGTCACCGAATGCCGCATCGATCTGCGGCTCAACTAATTTAACACAGATAGGATAGTTGCTTATGTATTAGGATAGTTAATATTAAGGTAAATAAATGGTGGCGAAGGTGTGGCTATTGGGGGAGGCTGGAGGCCACGTTAAAAAAAAAAAAAAAGTAGTAGTAGTAGTAGTAGTAGTAGTATTATTATTATCTAAACAGCTTTATCGTGAGCCTTCAACAATACCCGTCCGTACCTCACTAAAACTCTTAATGAAGGCTACACCGAATGAACCCGCTACTGCCTTGTGTCTGCAATGGAGTTCTTTTTCTAGGTCAGGCGAAGACGATCGCCTACCTGCGCTAGAGACGCCGCTGCTCAGTTATCAGAATATTTAAGGTGGAGGTCACTTAAGGTAACAATCTTTGAAGGAAGTGTTTTTAGTAATTATTTATACTGTATAAGCATATACCTTCTTGTGCTATAGAGGACAGTATACGGCACCTAAACGCTAAATTACCCCTAAATCGCTTGTTAGACCGACAAAGTACAGCAGTTCAAAACTAATTAGTGTCCACGTCTTAAGTGAATGGTTCATCTACCTCGAAGCATTATCGAACCCGTGTTATTCGTATTCAGGTTCACTCGGTTAATTTCATCGCTGTTTCGGTTCCTCCGTACAAGATGGTTCATAAGTCTCAAAGCCACATCGACTCCCCGACTCCCCGCCACTTGTAAAATTATGATCCTTCAGTGTGAAGGTAACCAAGGTGGCGCCATGACGTGGCTAGTCTGGTAGACTTTGGAAAATACTGTTCTTATTTTTTAATACAGTGTAGAGATACAACCGTGTAGTGGTAAAGTCATGTGGAGTTACAGTGGTGTAGTGATACAATGTTGGGATACAATGGTTTGTGGATACCATAGGGCAGTGATACATTAGTGTAACGATACATTGGTGTAATGATCATTAATGTACTGAGACCGTTGTGTAACGATACATCGGTGCAGTGATGTATTGGTGAAATAATACTTTGGTGTACTGAGAGATGTGTAACGATACAGTGGTGCAAAAGTACAGTGATGTGTAACAAGATAATATTGGACCTGTAGACACAGCGTCGGGATAACACCACAGCACCTCATCATCACACCCCCATCCTTCCAGTGACAAAGAACAGTGGAATTTTGCGGCGAACGGAAGGTACTGAAAACATTGACGTGAAACAGTGTGTTTTCAACATTCTATAAGAATTACTAAACAATGCAGAAGACAAAGGCATTTCTGGGATGTGTTACAGTGATTACATAAACAGTCTGTTTACTGAAGTGTCGTATAGGTGTGTCGCGTTGTGTCAAGTAGTACCTCTGGTGTGTCAAGAGCTTCCGTTACATCTGAGAGCGTAAGTAAACACTATCAGACAGTTGAATATAATGTTAGCAGAACGTAAACGAAATGGGGTAAGTAACAAGTTGACAGGTTATCTATATTAAAGTGAAATTTACGTGAGAGTATAATCAGAGTATTTGATGTTGGAGATGTGATTTTATTTTTAAACGTAAGGAAACGGGCGTCACTTTATTATGATTTATTTTTTTCATAGAATACAAATTTGGTGGGAAAACGGGACAAGTCGTGTTTAATCTTGTAAAATTATTCAAACAATCCTTAAAGCGTAATCGTCTTGTAATTAAGAATCTTTCCAGGAGGCTGCGGGTCTAAACTTAACTATGGCAGATGACAACTAACTTAAGAAAGTAAAATCAACGGAAGTTTCGGTGTAACGTGATAATCCTGTGTATGCGAAAGTGTTTGGATTTATCATGTGTCAGTCGATTCTCAGTAACGGGTGCTCTTTTTCTCAGAATTGCAAACCATTCAACGTGTTTTTGTAACTAACTATTTTCAAGGTCTATGGTGTTCTGCAAACTTTCGTAAAGCTGCCAGATTGTGATGCAGGCTGCCATTATTGTAAAGTTAAATACGTTTGTTTTGTTTTTCTAATCGAGCGACGCAAAAATTCCAAGACGAAAGTAAGATTAGGTTAGATTAGGTCAGGTTTCATTAAGTTTGGTTTGGTCACTTTTTTTGCATGTTTTAAACCCCACAATTTTACTCTACTTCAAAGTCCTGCGACGAAAACGCGATAGAGTAGAGTATTCTCTTTTTTTTTTTTGCTCTTTCTCCCTATCTACAATTCAATGAAGACTTCCATGATTGTTCTCTACCGAATCTTTACCACTTCATTATGCAAAATACGCTATAGTACGGTGTTTTGGGTTAATGTTGCGAGATTCACTGGTTTACTTTTAACGGACGAGGTGGTTTTGAAGTAAGGTTTAGTTTTCGTAGTTTATAGAATCACAGGAAAGTCATAGTGTTCATGATTTACTAATATAGCGTATAGTCTTCTAGGAGTTAGGCTACTGTAGGCTGGTGTTGTTGTCAGGCATAGCAGTGGATCGCCTGACACAACACACCACCTGATTCTAATAGACTATCTCCATTTACTCCCTTCACTATGGAGACGCCTTCTTTGATATTTTATTTGACTAACGACCGATTTTATTCAGCTCAGAGGATACCCCGTACACAAGGGATTAGTAGACATTATCTCCACTAGTGATGACCCAACATACACCATCTGTTGCTGTGAGTATTGAAGTAATACCACCAACAACAAGAACAATTAATGTGTATAATAGTGTTTACCAGCTGGCATTTGTGCTTTAGTGTTCTGTTGGGTAAAGAAACTTACGGTGTTTGAGGAAGCAGCTAAAAGTTTATACACTGTGAGTCGTAACGAGTTGCATCACTAAACTGAGCACCAACACAACACACTTTATAACAGGAACACTGAAAGGGATTTTAAGTTACCTTTCTTTAAGGGCATTAGCCCACCCAGGCACGGGTCATTTTTAATGACCCACATCAAGGCCCGGGGGGGGGGGCGAAAATATAATAAAACAATAATAATAATAATAAGTATGCCAATGATGATGATAATGGTAATAATAATAATAATAGTAATAAAATTAATATAAATATATTTAATAAATAACAATTATAATAAAAGAAAATAATAATAATAATAATAATAATAATAAAATTAATAACAATATTTAAAAAAAAATAATTATAATAAAAGAAAATACACATACAGTAATAATAAAAGTCTATAAAAAATATAAATAATAATAATAATAATAATAATAATACCCCCTGTAATAATAAAGAGCCATGAATAAATTCAAAAAATAAAAATAAAAATATCAATAGTGAGAAATGATACAGGTATGTTGTGTTGTTAATAGTAAGAGAAACAATTGAGACCCTGCAATTGTGTGTAAATGAGGCAGAAAGTCAGATCAGCAACCTGGGACTTGGTCACAATTTTCGTGATGCCATGTGGCAGCAGGGTCTACCATTAGACAACACATTATGCTTCCAATATCTTCCCAGGTTGTAGTACCTCCCTGTTTGATAGCTGGTACATAATTGAAAGAAATCCTTTATCATGAGGCAATGACGTTAATTTTTACTTCAGCGTGTTGGTGAGGCGACTTACCGTCCCTGGCAGACAAAACACTGACTCTTCACTGATCAACCGCTCCACGAACTCCAAGTCAGTGGCAAATTGTCCGAAGCCATCCATATCCACGCCGACCTGGTGAAGGAAAAACAGACGTTAGAATCACAATGAATAAAGACCAAAATAGCAAGGAAAATTATAACATTAATCAAAATATACATAGAAAATGGGGGCGATTTGAAGGACTAACGATTAAATAAATAAATTCGTGCACCCAAAGTGGTATTCGTGTAGCACAACGAGTCCTGGACCTTATCTAAATTACACCTATTTATATTTTATCTGGATTTTTTTTCCTTTGGGGAGAGAATTAAAAAGAAAATACTTGCTTGGCTTACATATATAGTCATTCACATATGCATATTGTTATTATTTCTATTAATAAACGTTGAAGAATCTCGTTGGTGTAAAGATGACGATGACAACTGTTACCTAACGATGACGACGAGAGCTTTGTTAAGTGACGATGACAACTATGTGACGTAAAGATGACGATGACAACTGTTAGGTAAAGATGACACGTATCTGTCGGTTCGTGAAGGCCACCACGCCAATGGCGTAACCAGTAGTCCCCTGACACCAAGGACAAGAACACGGACGACGCACTTATAAGGACAGATGGTCTGGCTGACATCATGGACTGGTTTAATGACGCATTAAGAATCTCACACGGGGCTGGTGCTTACGTTCCTTTGCCCACGTGCGCCCATGCTTCACGTCACACCAGGAATGACTTTCTCTCTCTGTTTATCAAGCTGTGTGATTTTTCTATCCTTCTTGCTTGGTTGCCATCTTTCGCACTTACCCCCTTTCTTTTCCTCGTCGCCCCCCCCCCCCCGGTCTTTCGCCCTCCTTGCATGATTTCCTTCTTTCAGGGGTGAGAGAGGAAGATGACCAAGTAAGTATTGTTTTGGGCAGCACGCAGCATGCATTCCTCTACCTCCTCCCCCAACACTTTATCTCACTTTTCCCATCCTCACACCTCCCTCGTCTTCCTCACCCCTTCACTTCACTTATCTCCTCACATCTCATCTTCCTCACATCTCATTTTCCTCACATCTCAGTTTTCTCACTCCTCAAATTTCACCTCCTTCACCCCTCCACATAATGCGAGTGTATACTACAGGCACTACACACACACACACACACACACACACACACACACATCATATCAGCAACAAACTCTTCTCACAATACTGTTACCTGTGATATCAAGACGTCAGACCCACGTGACTGACGGCGTGGGTTAACTGGGAAACATGTTGAAGCTCCAGTGATTCAATGGATAACGTGATACTTGTTATGACTCGCCTTTCACTACCAAGAAGAATGGGCCTTGACGCAGGGGGATACAGGTGTGTGTGTGTTGGTCCCGTCAGGTGTGTTGGTCCAGCCAGGTGTGTGTTGGTCCCGCTAAGTGTGATGGTCCAGTCAGGTGTGTGTTGATCCCACCAGGTGTGTGTTGGTTCGTCCTGGCGTGTGTTGGTCCAGCCAGGTGTGTGTTGGTCAGTCAGGTGTGTTGGTCCCGCTAAGTGTGATGGTCCAGTCAGGTGTGTGTTGATCCCACCAGGTGTGTGTTGGTTCGTCCTGGCGTGTGTTGGTCCCGCTAGGTGTGTTGTTCCCGCCAGGTGTGTATTGGTCCCGCCAGGTGTGTGTTGTTCCCGCCTGGTGTGTATTGGTCCCGCCAGGTGTGTGTTGTTCCCGACAGGTGTGTGTTGATCCCACCAGGTGTGTGTTGGTCCCACCATGTATGTGTTGTAAAAGTTTGACGTTCACATGTACAACAAGCCTCGTGTAATAGGTAATTAGATCAACACTCCAGACCCGCGTGTGTGGTGAGTGACTCGTAAGTGTTGCGTTGCCGGCCTCTTAGTGAAGGCTGGGGGGGGGGGGTCATGTTTGAGTGGGAGCACATTGTATTATATTACACTCATTTAGATTACTACACCATAACCTCGTAAGATCGACAAGAACCAGAAGTGAAATTAAATTTTGCAGCGGACAGCAGCTAGCTTATGATGCACCCACAAAGGGTGTTTGTTTCAGAGACCAGCGCGTGTGTGTGGTTAGGGTAAGTGCAATCGCTTGAGCGTACACACTCTAACCTAACCGTACATTACCTGACTGAAAATTACAATGCAAATAAAAGAAAGTTGAAATCGTGTTAATTTATACCGTTCGTTATATTGGTGAATTCGGCTGAGAGTTTTTGTTCAGTGAAACTATTTCGATCACATGAATATTAACCTTCCTATGTTATTTCACTTCATGCTACTTGTAGGGTTAGGTTAGGATAGGTTAGATTAGGTTAGGTTAGGCTCGGTTCGCTTGGGTGCTTAATCCTCACGTGATCCGATTGTAGTTTGGAGGGAGTTCGTTCCCGCACGAGTGACGGCCATTACCTCAGATCAGCTGACTGAAAGTTCCCGAGGTGAGTAATGTGGTTATGTGTTATACCTCGGCTCACCCTCACAGTAATGACAGTCACACAACACACCTACCTGTCCGTTAACTCGCCTGTCCCTCCCACCCATACCTGTCCCTCCCCCCCATACCTGTCCCTCCCTCCCACCCACACTTGTCCTTCCACCCATAACTGTCCCTCCCACCCATACCTGTCCCTCCCACCCATACCTGTCCCTCCACCCATACCTGTCCTTCCACCCATACCTGTCCCTTCCATACCTGTCCCTCCCACCATACCTGTCCCACCCATACCTGTCCTTCCACCCATACCTGTCCCTCCACTTATCTGCTCCTCCACCCAACTGTCCCTCCACATATCTGCTCTTCCCCCACTTGTCCCTCCTCTTACCTGTCCCTCCTACCTGTTCGTCCACCCACCTCCTCCACCCATCTCCTGTGAGGGTCGAACAGATCGTCTTCAGTAAACCATGAAAACACGCGGAAAGTGAGTCCAGCATTTTATTTTCTTTAGCTCATCCTTGTATCTGAAGAACCAAATGTCATTCTAAAGTCTAAACATAATAATTTGAGCTTTAGGTTATCGATATATATTATTTCACTCGTTACAGTGTTTCTTGTGAGACAATAACAGGAGTTGGGCAGGCAGCTCAGGTACGGTGTCAGTTTTTAACGTTGTAAATAGCGTTCGTGCACATCATCAAACTCCTCCCATTTTCCACATCCAACACACACCTTCTCCTTAGCCAATCACAACAGCCCGTCTTGTTCCCTGAGCCAAGCACAGCAGTGGCGTGTTGTGTCGGCCAATCCAGACGTGTTGTCCCGTTGCCAAGCCATCTGGGAGTCACGTGATGCTGGTGTGCTACATTGTTATTATCGTCCTCTGAAGGTGAACACCCACTCTAATGGCGTAGATTCGCGTTAAAAGTTTTCCAAGACATTTCATTGTTATTCACATGAAGAACTACGTATAAATGCTAGTTGAAGATGTTGAATTATTTCCTGGCAATTTTCGTCACAAAATTATAAAGGATATTTGTCGTTATTAGCTCTACATACGCACTAGTACATCCTGATACATTAATTATCAAACCCTTTGAAATATCTAAACAGTGAATTAATTTACATTTACTGTAGGTGTATTATGCTACCGACCAGCGAAAACTCTCTACATAATTTTTTATTGGTGCTACATGTAGATGAGAGAACAAATAAAAAAATAAATTCCATAAATGAATGTGTCAGTTGCTAAGAATGCTGAATCAATGTTGACGGAGGCAGCAAGGAGAGGAGCAACAGATCGTGCAGCACTGTTTTCACTCTTTAACCTTGGTGGACGGACCCTCGCAGTACGTCGTGCAGCGTAAACACTCACAACGTTAACACTGACCGTGAAATAAGTGACCTATACCGAAGCAACACCTGGTGGTTAAAATTATGGAATTCATGAAGACGAGGACTAGAGTTAGGTAAAGATAACAGAGTGGCAACGACAGTAACTCGAGAACCGGGAGTAAGACAATAACACTTGCTGGGTATAATGATGTGAGTAACAAATACCATGACAACAGAAACTTGGGAAAAACTTATAATGCATGTTTTACCCACAGGAGATATAAAGAAGAGCTGGATAGATAAATACCCAAAACCTTTCTTCATCAAGAGAAACAATTTATCGAGGACAGCGTTATGTAGTGTCATACAAGGAGCCATACTTGAAGATAAACCTGAGCTTGGTGCGCATTGACACTCGGGTCTGAGCCAGCATACTCAAAACGCCTCAAAAGTTACGTACAGTAGCAGAGGTACGGTACCGTAACTTACAGACTCCTTACAGTCGGGTAAATTTCTCATACTCAAAATTTAATTACGGGTTCGTAAGCATAACAGTGGCATCACATTTTTTCTTAAAGTATTTTTTATGGGTGTTTGGTTCAATACAATCAGTAGTTATGCTCTTTTTTGCTGCAAAAAATAGTGAAATGTACCTCGCCCGAATGTAACCTCACCTAACCTAACTTTTCCTAGCCTAACCTTACCTAGCCTAACCCTTACCTAGCCTAACCCTTACCTAGCCTGACCCTTACCTAGCCTTGCCCTTACCTAACCTAATCTAACTTTATCTAACCTAACCTTTACCTAACCAAAGCTTTACTTCACCTAACCTAAACTTACCTAACCTTACCTAACTTAACCTTTCCTTTTTTATAATTCATTTGCAGAGATAATCAAAGGTTACAATGCATATTAGTGGCATCCTAAGTTACGTTCATATATCATCAACAGATTTACAGATAAGTTGGAGAAATGTTTATAAAAAGTTTATCTCTGCAAATGTATTTTTGTAAAAATAAGTCGAAATTTGTCAAGAGAACTTAATTGTTAGCCATGTGCGTTGTGGCTTTCTTAGGTTAGGTTAGGTTAGGTTAGGTAGGGTAACGTTAGGTTAGATAAGGTTAGGTAAGATTAGGTAAGGTTGTAAGGTTAGGGTACGATACATTTCACTTATTTTACAGCGAAAAAATCACTCCTGAATGTATCAGTGATAAAACCTATGAAAATTTCTTTTTCAAAGAAAAAAAAATGCCATACCACTTAAATTTTACCCATTTTTTATTAGGTTTGATGAACTTAGATTGGGGAAGGTATTATTTAACTATGAGTCACGGGTACTTCTTGGATACTTGGCAGAATAGCTTGTTATAATTTGGTCCTGGCCATACCAAGGCTTAGGCTATTGGTGAAATATGCAAAAATGCGGAGTCTAGGCAAAAATGTTCACTTGACCTCGTATTTGGCTGTCATTACTGACGGATATCTACGGCTATGCAATAAGGTCTATCTGCAAGTTTACTCAGTCATAAAAAATATTTGTACCATAAATGTGGACAATACGAATTTTCTATTTGGGTACAAATACTTGAAAAGTTGTAAGAAGACAAAAGATTCGTCTCTTCCATTCCACGACAAATATAACACACTCAAGCCTCTTTTTATCGTAAAAAAAAAAGAACTAAAAAGACAAACTGTAATATCGTATTTTAGTATGTTGATGTACAAAACATTTTCTTCATTATTCGATCATAAAACAAGTTTAACAAGAATTATTACTACATATATTATTAATTTTTTATGCAATCGGAAAATAGCGATGTACTACTGTATATCCGGGTTGAGTGTGTTACAGCAGCTAAGAGGTCCTGAAATTACGGCCTCGCTTTCGGACTCGATTACGGAGTCCACTGACAAATACATGTTTTGAGTATGCCATTCGCAGACTGTAACTCCAGTTACGAGGTAAACAAAGACATACAGTCCCTTAAATGCTTTTGAGTATGCGGCCCCAGCACAGTGGTGCGGTGCGCACATTAACCAGCAGTCTGTCTTGCAGCGTGGTAGAGTCATGTACTGAATAAAGGAATTAGATTACTTTCATAATCAATATTAGATTTAATATTGATTTTAATTGTTTGCTTCAGTTAGCAACTCATTGTACACTCACTGTCTCCTAACCTAACAGCTTCAGCTATGTGATCCCATATGTCATATTTCAGCTTGGTTTTCATGTAGTCAGGATGGCTAGTGTCCTAGAGTACCCATGGACTCCAAACAGCCTCTGTAAGTTCCTCCGTCATATCATAAATAGATAAATGTATGTCATGAAACACCTGACACGTTAATGTGTCGAGTAATAACTGTTTTTCAACCACTACTCTTACTACTACTTTGCTGTCACTCGGCAGGGTCAATCACAGATGTTGCACATGTGGGGGGTTACATCTAGTGCGGGAGGGGCAGAGGCAGCGTCTTTCCGGTGATGGCGCTTCTCTGCCTCGTTATGCAGTCGGGCTAACTCGAAAGTATTGACATCTCGTGTGATGCTCCTCCAAGCATTACGGTGTGGAGTAATCGTCTCCCAGGTGAGGCGGTGGATTTGGCACTTTTTCAGGTTTGTCTTAAGACTATCCTTATACTGTACATTTCAGTTGCCCGCCAGCGTTACATTTCCTATTCGTTAGGTGACTGTAAAGTAGCTGCTTTGGCAGTCTACTGTCGTCCATGTGGGTAACATGGCCAGTCCAGCGTAGTTGTTCATGGCACGAGAAAGGAAGGCAGCCAAGAAAATGGAAGAGAGAGTTAGTGCCAGTACACACCCTTCTTTAACCCCCGTTTGGAAGGGGAAAAGCTCATACTGGGTGCCATTGTGCAGAACACTTCCGTTCATGCCATCGTGGAGTTGCCTCACAATGGCGATGAATTTTGGTGGGCAGCCAAAACGGATGAGGGTCCACCAGGGGGCTTTCCTGTTGACCGACTCGAAGGCCTTGGTTAGGTCGATGAAAGCCATGTACAGGTCACGACGCTTTTCTCTGCACTTTTCCTGTATCTGACGGGCAGCAAAGATTATGTCAGTAGTGCCACGTGATGGTCTAAAGCCAAATTGAGATTCTGGGAGGAAGTTTTCCGCCTCAGGAAGAAGTCTGTTTAGGAACACTAGGGCGATAATCTTGCCAGCTACGGACAGCAGCGAAATTCTGCGGTAGCTGCCACAGTCTGACCGGTCTCCCTTGTTCTTATAAATATTGACGATGGAGGCATCTTTTCCTCCTTTTCCTATATATTCTCCAGGAGAGAGTGGAGACGGCTGGTAAGCAGAGGTCCTCCTGCTTTATACACCTCGGCTGGGATTCCATCAGGCCCTGAGGCTTTGTTATTTTTAATCTGCATGATGGCAGTAGCTACCTCATCCAAAGATGGAGGAGAGCTGAGGTGGGTCAGCTCTGGATGCTGAGGGACTTGCTGATAGTCAGGACATCCACATCGGTGTTTCGATTGAGCAATGAATAGTAGTGCTCTTTCCAGCACTGAAGGAGGCCTTCATAGTCTGTAATTATGGAGATACCGTCGGACTAGCAGAGGGGGGCTTCGCCACGAGTGATTGGCCCATAAAATATTTTAATGGAAATTTAAAAAAATCGCACATCTTGTGCTAATCTGCATTTTTTTGTGTTTCACATGCTTTATTTTTAAACCAGTCGGTCCTGCTGGGGCACCGCTTTCTTCTTGCGGAAGGTATCAGCTTTGGTCCAAGACTGAGGGTTGTACTGCCAGTCAGTTAAAGCAGCACGTTTATCATCGACGAGTACTTTGATTGCCAGGTCATTTTCATCAAACCAGTCCTGGTGTATTCTTTCGATCTGGCCGAGGGTCTTTCTGTAGGTTTTTGTCATGACAGTGTCGAGAATATCCCATTCGGCACTGGGATTTGGGTTGTTTCATCAGCCCATGTTCGAAGCTGCTCTCTGAAAGCACGTGCTACTGCTGGATTCTCCAGACGCTTAGTGTTAAAACCTCTTCTGGAGGCTTGCCGCCTCCGCAATTTTGGGGCGACGTGAAGTGAGAGCTTGGCTCTGAGGAGCCGATGATCAGTGTCGTAGTGGTCTAAGCCACGCGTGGCACGGGTGATGAGGACATCTCGGCGATCTCTTTCTCTGAGAATGATGTAGTCAATGAGATGCCAGTGTTTGGATCGTGGGTGTTGCCACGAACCCTTGAACTACGCCGCATAACTCGACATCACCATTACCTGTGGGTCGCCTTTTTTATGGACCCTGCAACTGACGGAGAACTCAAAGAAGTGTAGTTGGTACTTAGCTTATCAATATATACATACTGCATCCTAACGTTGTACACATAACATTGTACTTACCATCATGTACTACAGTGTGGACAAATGGTTAAAAATTACCTGGACGCTCGTCAGTATTTGGCATGTAAGTACTAAGGGATTGGAATTTTAGCATATCTTGTTAATCCGACATAATACGTGATGAAAAGCAAAGTTATTAGATATAAAACAATCGTATATTTGACCCAGAAGTAGATGCCAAATATTACCAAGTGTTCAGGGAATTTTGTCCGCAACTGCAGACGGCATCATGACATTATTGCATACATAACATTGTACTCACCATCATGTACATGGCACCTTGAGGCATAACCGGGTGCAAGCCGGGCGTCTCCTTGATGAAGTTGTAACACATTTTAGCATTAGTCTGTAGAGAGAACAAAACTGATTATTAATACGAATTGATACTCCAGCACGAAACACCATCATCTATCTATCGTACAGTGTGTGGGGAAGATCGATGTGTTACGGCTATAAGTTACAGTGTGTGAGGAAGATCGGTGTGTTACGGCTATAAGTTACAGTGTGACGAAGATCGGTGTGTTACGGCTATAAGTTACAGTGTGTAAGGAAGGTCGATGTGTTACGGTTGTAAGAATAATAAAAAGTTGTTGGATGTGATTGCATTGTATATTTATAATGAGTAAATATAAACATATTTAACATTTAGCTCAGAAGGATTTCCTGTGCTGATGACACTTACAAAATGTTCATCCAGGGGTCTAGTTACCTACTCTCCCTCAGGCGGTGACGGAAATACCCCAACTTACACATAACACAACATTTGAAACAACAGCTCAGGGAAGCATCTACACCCTTGTTTAAATCTGTGTTCTTTAAACGTCACAACCTCCTTCAGGGTAATGAGAGAGAAGTTGTAACCTAATTGTTATAATCATCTTTATGACGTGAAGGAACACTTATTACGACCTTAAGATCTGGTTTTGTCTTTTAACATAATGAAAGGTCCGCCTAACAGCCAGTGACCCCTCTTTAATGTCTCCCCAGGTGTCCTGTGACGTCATATCCTCCTCGCCAATCACAGGAGGGAAACGTCGGAGAAAAACCAGTACAGTACTGCATGATAATAATAATAATAATAATAATAATAATAATAATAATAATAATAATAATAATAATAATAATAATAATAATTACCGGTTTATTGAAAGAGCTTGGCAGCCAGAAGGCTGAAAATATACAGTTACATATTTGAGGAATGGGTTTCGAATTACAAATAATATACAAGTAACATAAGTGATACAAATAAGATATATAATAACTAGATGGGGAAAAGCTCAAACTACAGTGCATTTCAACATAGTGACAGTGCAAGAAGTAGTATTTACTGGAAGTGAATACACTGGTTTATTACAAGTTATTGATAACTTTTACAATGGTTGGGACTGGGCTGTTCTTATAGCGATCAGTTCGTGCACGTATGGGCTGGATGCGGCGTGCGTGCGTGCGTGCGTGCGCGTGCGTGCGTGTGCGTGCGCGCGTGTGTGTGTGTGTGTGTGTGTGTGTGTGTTACAGAAGGGTGAAGTGGTGTAGTCTTATCCTTGTTCTATTTTGTTATCCATTTTCATTCTCCTGAGCGACACGAGTAACAAAAGAAAAGAACCATTCTATTAAAGTTTTGTTACCTCGAGATTCATACGAATCTGGTGTTGGCATGTCAAAAATCAATGTTCCTTTTTTTCAGTTTTTTTTTCTCTTCGTACAACACAGGAGAATGTATGTGGGTGTAGCAGGGATGAACACCAACAAACCCATCATCGAACTGTCCGATTTTAACGAGAACAAACCATTGAGCGATATAAACTCAAATTCGCAATGGTTCATTCTTCCCCAAAAACATACACTATACCTTGGCAATACTCAGTGGTTCGTTCCTGTTCAAAATCAGATATTAGTTGAGTGATGGTTTGTTTCCCAAGGCTCCCGCAACACTGGCTGTTCTCGTTATCAATACGGCGGGCTTAACACTGTGGCTTAACTGTACTCGCTGCGTCCTAAATGGAAAACTAATAGAAAAAAAATAGCTGAATTTTGATATGCCAAAATCAGACTCGTCCTCCTTTCGGGGTAACAAGACTTCTGTAGAAAAGTCATATTGATGCGAGGTTAAGTGTGACACATTCTTATACCATTATCGTACTGGTATACAATATTTTTCATCCTAAGTAGTACAAATGTGTCCCGCTAACTACAATTTTTTTAACCCTTTGAAGACGAAGGTTTAAACTAAAACCCTTGAGGATGACGGTTTATGCCTTAACCCATTGAGGACGATTGTTTAATCTATAACTCTTTTTAAGAACAATCTATTCTATAATCACCAGGGGTCAAACCATTGTCTTCATTGTGTGTGCTAATGATTTCTTTTTTTACCCTAAGACCTCGTTTGTGTCGTAGGTCTTGTCTCGTTTATAAATGTGTTTATTTAGGAGACTCAGCTCCAGGCAGCTACAGATGCTCCCCAACTGCATATTCGACCGATGACCAATTAATACAGCGGCTGGATTATTGACTACTGTATTAGGTAATCGGATCTAAGAACGCGAGGGAACCACGCGCGTACACACACACACACACACACACCACACACACTCACACCACACACACTCACACCACACACTCACACCACACACTCACACACCACACACTCACACACATTCACCACACACACACACACTACCTCCAAATGCCCTAAGATGAGGTAAGGAGTTATCAAGGACACCATACCCGAGGCTGCACTTAGGATGAGGCTAAGTGTAGAACAAGGATCGACATAATGGCAGAATGGGGAGGCTAGAGGTGATATTGGGGGCAGGCACAGGGACGCCACGTACCTGGATTTGGCTGATGGTGTTGCTGAAGAAGGACTCGGGGGTGGTGTTGAGGATGGTGGGGAGGGCGCCCTGGATCAGTGTGTTGCTGCCGATGATCCGCTGACTCAGGGATTGCAGACCCTTACGTATCTGTACATACCAACAGGTTAATTATAGGCTTATTACAGGTATTAAATATAACCCCCCCACCCTATTCATTGAAAGTCGTCTGTATCTTGTCTCATCAAATGTTGCACTGCTATTGTTCCCTTCCACATCGAGACCTTAAAATATCCTTCTGACACCTCCCATGTCACCTGATACTCCTTCTCAACACCACACCAACTAACCGTTTGTCTCTAATATTCCATACTGTGTTTATGAGTCATGCACGCACATTGCTGCTGCTTCCTGAATGTCCGTCTGTCTACCCACCCCATTGAAACCTTCCATCTCTCTCTCTCTCTCTACACTGCTTTTATCAGTCTCTCACTTCTTATTTACCTCACACGCCCGTATAACTTGAACAAACCCTGACTGACTCACACCAGCACACTCACCATTATCTCTCACATTAAAACTTTCAGATCTTCCCACAAAACACCTATTTTTCCTCCCCCGTTTTTTTCTCCCAGGCGTGTTAGCTATCACTATAACTCATTTATTATACTCCTCTCCCACTTTTAGTCTCATATGTAATATTCTGGGATTGATCATCTTAAAATACCTCACGTAACTCCACACTTCATTACTCAACACCCTTTTTCTCTCACTCTTAGATCCTCTTGTGGTTAATGCTCGTTCACGTGTCATCGGTGCGCCTCTCCATCGTCCTTCGTTATCTAAGTTCCCTCTAATGCCTCCAGTCACTCTCGTCTTGTCATCCTAATTGCTCCCAAACACATCCAAACACCTCAGTTGTCATCTTTCCCCCCTTTCCTTGTAATATCTTCCCTTCCGAAATATTAGATAATGGGAGTGTGAGAGGCAAATGATGATCACCAGGTTTATTTTTTTACTAACAGTCTAGGTGGAGGAAGATTATGTAACGTGTTTCTTATGTCCTCCTGTTATAGTACAACTAAGTACATATCTCCCTCTTTCCTTCCTCTCTCTCTATCTTGTTTTCCCTCTGTCCTTTCCTTACTATTATGATGTCCACTTGTTTCCTCCCATACATACTCTTCTCATGGATCATATCTCTTCTTCCTCTTCCTTCATTAACAGCTTATGTAATGTTTAAAGGTGGTTTGGTGTGGTTGGTCCGTGTGGGCGACAGAGTTGTTTTTCATCCATTTTCTTCTCAGATTTCCTAAGTTTACATTAGGCTCCTTTTCCCTCTTCCCCTATTTTTTTTTCTCTCTCTCTTACTCTCTCTCTCTCACGCCCTTCTTATCACCCCCCTTTTTCTTTCATCCCCTTTTCTTTTATCTCTCTCTCACACCTCACCCTTTTCTCTTCCTCTCTCTCTCACGTCCCTCCTGCCCATTATTTCCCTCTAATTCTCCCTCTTTCTCCACTATAACAAGACGGATCTTGCATGAAGAATATTTATATATATATAGGAAGAATATTTAGTAAGAGAGTAAAAGAGAGAAAGACTTTGGTAGCGTGGCCGTGTTAGTTATTTGAACTAGACTTACACTTATCTTATCTCATATGTCAATACACATCTATTACGTCTTAAGGGCGACTTCTCAAACACCGCTTCGTTACAACTCTGTATTAATTACGAACATGACATGGACACATTAATAACACCTCCTATTGAAGTTACTAGGACACTATATTTACGTCACTAGGACATCATATTACGTTACTAGACACTGATTCTCGGACACGATCATGAAATGAATACACTTCCCACGTAAGTAACTCATCCCATGGAAAGCTCTGATTTATGGCCCCTTGACTTGGGCTGCGAGGGTTACATTTGACCTGGCTAATGTGAGGTCAGGTCTGGACTTCTTCTGTGATGTAGGTTATTGTGTATATTGGGAGAGAGTCGGCAGGTGCCTTCTTACATGTTTGGTGGGGCCGTGTGACATGGGAAGAGGAGCCTGGCTGATTTGTGGCTCCTTGAGTGGCTGCGAGGGGTACCCTTACATTTGACCCCCCCTAATGTCGGGTCAAGTCTGGACTGTTTCTGAGATGTAAGCTGTGGTCTGACAACCCATCACTACACCACCCTCCCTTTCTTGCCATTCCTCCCTTATTCCTCTCTCTCTCTCCCTCTCTCCCTCTCTCTCCTCCCATCTCTCCCTCTTTCTCTCCTCCCATCCCTCCCTTTTCTCTTCACTCTCTCTCTCTCTCTCTCTCTCTCTCTCTCTCTCTCTCTCTCTCTCTCTCTCTCTCTCTCTCTCTCTCTCTCTCATATCTCTCCCTCTTTCTCTCTCATATCTCTCCCTCTTTCTCATCTCTCCCTCTTTCTCTCCTCCCATCTTTCCCTTTTCTCTTCACTCCTTCCTTTTCTCCCTCTCTCTCTCCCTCCCTTCCGTACCTCCTTGAAGATGTTGTTTCTGTCGCTGATGGCAATCCAGCCCATCCTCCATCCTGGTGTAAGGAACCTCTTGGTGAGGCCGCCGCAGGACAACACTGGCACCTCCTTCGTCAGTGAGGCCAGCGGGTGATACTCTTGCCCCTCGAATACCTGACGGAGAAAGAGCCAAGGGGAGAGTTAGATGGCTGGGAGAGTGGGTGGTGGGAGAGTGGGATGGGGTGAGAGAGTAGGAGAGTGGGTGGTGGGAGGTGAGTGGAGTGGGAGGAAGTGGGGTGAACCTTGGGAGGAAGTGGGGTGTGGAGGAAGTAGGCCAGTGGGTGGTGGGAGAGTGGTGAAATGAGAGGAAGTGGGAGTGAGCGGGGGAGTGGGTGAGTGGGAGAGTGGGATGGGGTGGCGAGAGAGTGGAGAATGGGTGGTGGGAGAGTGGGTGGTGGGAGAGTGGGGGTGGTGGGAGTGGGGTGGTGGGAGAGTGGGGTGGTGGGGAGAAGGAAGTAGGAGAGTGGGTGGTGGGAGAGTGGGTGGTGGGAGAGTGGGGTGGTGGGAGAGAGTAGGAGAGTGGGTGGTGGGAGAGTGGGTGGTGGGAGAGTGAGTATAAACAGGTGAGTATAAGTTTACAGTTAGACGTATGGTAGACAAATATAGGTATAAGTAGTTAATTAGTGATTGAAGGTGAATTACAGTAAGATAATAATCAGAGACGACAACAGAACACACTCACTAGTCTTATTAAACTTTAACATTAATGAAAGAGAAATATAATAAAACAAATGAAAGAAATCTGAATGACTTACGAAAAAAATCATTAAGTTTAAGAATAAATCCAAAAGGAAATTACTGAAGGAATTCCTAATATTTTGTGTTTTAGATTTATATATTAGATAAAATTTAAGCACATAGATTAGTGGTACAGGTGAAATGTATTACAGTAAGGCTACACCAGATGACAAAATGCTCCAGAGATTAGAGAGATATTAAGCTCTATTTAAGACAGACTACATCGTAACGCTGTCGAGGTGATGAGATTAACGCAGGACTAAAGTTAAGAGGCTAAGTTATGGTAACAGTCATGCTCCTGATTAATGATGAAAATTAATGTGGATGCCATAGACTTGACCTGTTAGGGGCAGTGTGGATACAGCCCCTTTTATAATAAGACTTAGTTACGCTTCCCCCATTGGTAAAATTAGATACCCGTTCACAGCTGGGTGGACTAGTGACCCCTATAGTACAGGAGGAGAGCGCTGTATCCATTCAATGATATACAGTAAATTGACAAATGTAAATTAAGTGAACCTATAGTTTACGTCAAAGATTATTATTAAACACGAGGAAATGACCCTGATATAACTAACTAGTATACAAAAAAAAAGCATTACTAGTTTAGGTAACGGTCCACAACCCGGAAATTGCTCTGGTATAACTAGTGTACGCCGTAGTACCCTTGATATGATTAATTATCAAACATACACGGAAGTCTGGCTAAGGTAACCACCACAACCATTCACAAACAACTACCTGAACCTTACATTATTTTGTCACTTTGCCCTCCTCCCCTCATTGGTACTTCATCAGCTTCTGAAAGGTGAAGGTTGGTGTGTGCGCGCGCATGTGAGAGACAGACAGACAGACAGACAGACAAAAAAAATGTTAGAGTGAAAGAGCGAGAGAAAATGTTAGTGAGAGAGAAATAGAGTTAATAAGAGTGAGGGTGAGAGAGACGAACGTAGTGTACAGTAGGTATAAGTACACCCTGACTCCAATCATCAAACTTTACCTCATTAAATTTTTCCATCTTGCTGTACGACTCAAACAAATGACAGCCAAAATGTCGTCGAAATTACCCCGAGACTCTACAACAGGATGACGATAAGCTTAGGTTATTTTATATCTCATTTAAGGAAAGACTAAATCTGGACCATGATGCGACTTTGGGATTGGTGGGTCCATCGGGAGTTGGGAGGGAAGGGAGGGGCGTGTACAGTGTATCTAATTAGTGTCTGGCCCCTTGAGGGATACGGTGGAGGTAGAGATGGAAGGGGGGTGTAGGGTGGGAGGGAGTGAGAAGGAGGGAAGGGAGGGATGAAGGAGAAGGCAAGAGAGGAAGAGAATGGGGGGGGGTGAGGGGGGAGGGTCGTCGTGGTAGTGGTATGGATATCAGGGGGCTGGAGAAGGTCAACAGCCGTACAAGGTGTGCTGGACAAGGCTCCACCATCTTCCTCCTGGCCACAGCCGCGTCAGGTAGACCCACCTGACCCACACCGAGGCAGGTACATTGTTGAAATTATTAAAGACCACATATCACCTGAAGATTAGCACCCCTGAGTTAATCTAACCTACCTAACCACCGCCAGGTAGGGTGTTTATTCATCAGGTGATATAAGCTAGGGGGAGGGTGAATCTTCAGGTGATGCGAGGCGACGAACATATGGGCACGGGGGTGGGGGAAACTGCAGTGGGAGCGGGTAAACAAAGTAAAAGATTACAGGGAAATAGTGTTAGGAATGATGACAAAACTAAATTAAACAGGGAGTTTAAAACTAAACGCGGTAAAGGGAGGACTCAGAACACGACTAACTTAAATGTCTACTACGCGAACAGTAGAAATATGAGAAACAAAATGGATGATATTAGGGCCTTGGTATGTACCGAAAAAATCGATATAATAGCATTCACTGAAACATGGATCAACCTAGACTCACGTGAGTTGCCGGTCGAATACCAAATTGCGGGTTACAAATTGTTCCATACCCATAGGCAGACCAGGAAAGGAGGCGGAGTAGCAATCTATATTAGGGATAATCTGAAGTGTGAAATAAATAAGGAAATAAAAACTGAGCGGAATACAGAAACAATTTGGATAGAATTAAGCGACGGTCGGGAAAAATTAATCACAGGAGTAATATATAGACCTCCCAATCTTGATAGAGTCAATGAGCGACTTATCTGGGATGAAATGCGCAGGGCTTCCATCCACACCAAAGTCTGTATAGTAGGCGACTTTAACCTTGGCCAAATCGATTGGACTGACCTTACGGGTAACTCAGAATCAGAAGATTTTCTCGAGACGATGCAGGACTGTTTCCTAAGTCAACATATAACCGAACCCACACAGGGTAATAATATACTCGATTTAGTTCTGTCGAACAGAGAAAACCTCATTAGCAGTGTCGAGGTAGGGAACGAACTTGCAAACAGCGATCACAAAGAAAGTAGATTCCAGTTAGATTTTCAGGGCAGACGTAAGGAAAATTCCACTAAAGTACCAGATTTCAGAAGGGCAAACTTTGACAATTTAAAGAGGCAGCTGAGAGAGGGGGTGTCGCGCTTGGCCGTGAACCTGACAGATGACTCCGACCTGATAACGAGATCTGAGATTGCCGAGTTCCACGACAATTTAAATAATGAGTTACTTAATGCACAAAGGCAGAACATACCATACAAAAAACTCAGATCAGACAACAATGACCCTAAATGGATAAATAATTATTTAAAGAACATCATTGGCCAAAGGAAGGCTATAGGTAGAAGGATAAAGCGTGGCGAAATTTACCTCCAGGATTATTATAAGATATTGGCGAGTAGGGTTAAAACCGAGATAAGGAAAGCCAAGAGGAATAATGAGGTAAGGATAGCAAGGGAGGCGAAGACAAACCCCAAAGGATTCTACCAAATGTATCAAACTAAAACACGAGAAAAGATTGGACCAATACGGTCAGATACCGGCGAGCTAACTGATAACGACGGAGAAATGAGCAATAATCTGAATAAATATTTTTCAACAGTTTTCACCACCAAAAATTTAAACATGATACCCGAGGCACCGACTCTATTCAGAGATAGTGAAGAAAACAAATTAACCGAGATAGTAGTGACTAGTAACGATGTTAGTAAGCAAATAGACAAACTAAAGCCTAATAAGTGACCTGGTCCCGATGAGATATTTGCCAGAGTATTAAAGGAATCTAAGGAAGAGCTTAGTATGCCCTTAGCAAAGTTGTTTAACATGTCCTTAAAAACAGGTGTAGTACCAGAATTCTGGAGGATAGCGAATGTAATACCGATTTTCAAGAAGGGGGATAGATCACTATCCTCTAACTACCGCCCAATCTAACATCAATAGTCTAACATCAATAGTAGGCAAATTACTGGAAGCAATCATTTCAAACTCTATTCGAAATCACCTGGAGAAGCACCGATTGATCAATGATTCCCACCATGGCTTCACAAGCGGACGTTCTTGTCTAACTAATCTATTAACATTCTTTTCATCAGTTTTCGAATCGGTGAACGAGGGGCACAATTATGATGTGGTATATCTCGACTTTAGCAAAGCCTTCGACAGAGTCCCCACACGAAAGACTAATTAGAAAGGTAGAAGCACATGGCATCAAAGGTAACATCCTTAAATGGATTAGGGTGTGGTTACAGGACAGGAAACAGCGAGTGAGCATTAACGTACTAAGTCCTATTGGAGCAACGCCACAAGTGGAGTTCCCCAAGGCTCAGTACTTAGACCATTAATATTTATTATATACATAAACGACATAGATATCGGCATAGATAGCAACATAAGTAAATTTAAGGATGACACTAAAATAGGACGTGTTATTAAATCTGACGAGGACTCGGCAAACTATGTGAAGATCTAAACAAATTTTTTCTAAATGGTCTGAAAAATGGCAGATGAAATTCAACGTGGACAATTGTAAGTACTCAGTATAGGAGATGGTAAACAGGGAAACCAGGATACCAGATGAACAACGATGCTACAGAGAAATCCGACTGCGTAGAGAGATTTAGGAGTTAAGATAAGCTAGAACCTTAAGCCAAGTAAACAATGTGTTTTGCTCGTAACAAGGCTAATAAAGCATTTGGGTTCATACAAAAGGAGTGTTAGTTACAAGACTAGCGAGGTCATCCTAAAACTGTATCTTGCGCCAGAGACCACACCTGAATTACGCAGTTCAGCTCTGGTCACCGTATTATAGAATGGATATAGAATCCTTGGAAAGAACTTCCATAGGAGAATGACAAGACTAATCCTGGCATTAGAGCCTTGAGTATAGAGACAGGTTAAAAGCATCTTAATTTGCACTCCTTGAGAGAAGTAGAGCGAGGGGCGACCTGATAGAGGTGTATAAGGGAAGCCA